TTAATTTATTCCAATTCAGGTCAATTAAAACAAAAAAGATGTCACACTCCATTTTTTTCTGTGAAGAGCAAAACTTTTATTGTTCACATCTCAGAAGAGCTATTTGAGCAGAGCTGAAAATAGAACGTGCTTGGAGAGTGAGGCTTGTTTGTTTCACCAACTGCATCACCAGCACCGTTTGGAGACATCCATGTGCAGGTGGTCCCTTGGTGCTACACCAGGTGTTGTTTCATTGGACAGATCCCTTTGCCATCTCACCCTTTGGGTCTTCTGCCTTTTTCACTGAGACTTTCTGGTGCCTTCCAAAGAGCGAGAGTCAAAGTTAACTGCTGAGTAAACAGTATATCCTTATACAGGAGACACAGGCGTGTCAGGTTGGCATCTTGAGGGGAAACGTCCCACCTGGCCTTGGCTCACTATAAAACAGAGTAATCCTTTTTAGAACTAGGCGTCCTCTCTTTGTCTTGTAACAATTTGGAGAAAGGAGTTTCAAAATGCAATTAAACAAATAATGATTCTTCAGATCCAAGCAACCTAGAGAGGACCCCCGAGAGCTTTCCTTTTTTTTGGGACAAACCCTAGACCCACCAGGCTGTCTAACCTAGAGCTAGGACAGGAGGTGCAAGAGTGAACAAGCAAGGGAGAAGAAGGTATTCCTGAGGATTAGAGGAGAAAACAATACATGCAAAGTGTGACTCACCACCTCCCAGCCCCTCTGGTAGCTACCACTTCTCCCTCTTCACTCTAACCCTCAGGCGGACCTGCTTTGATTTCACACGCAGGGCAAGAGAGTCGCACATCGATGAACGTATCTTTAGCCTTTCTGCAGGGGTCCATTTGACTCATTAAAAAACAGAGGAGAGAATGAGTCACATGGCTTGGTTTTCCTCTTCCATGTCTCACATCAGTATAGACTCTGAGGTTTAAAGCCCTTCCCCCAACAGTGTATTTACACAGCAATAATATTTTGTTCAATGGAGTAAATGAGGCACCAAAGATACTAAGATAAATAAGATGCCGTCTTTGCCCTGGAAGAGTTCAGGGACTATGAGAGGGATGTAAAATATCTGGTATGAACGTCACCACTTTCACCTGCCTTATTATAGGAGATATTGTTAATTTATTACTCGTTCATTCAAAGATGAATGGAGTGTCTACCACATACTCAGACTGAGCCAGGCACTAGTGACTCCAAGGTATAGAAGTCAGGTAAGGTCTCTGCCCTTATGAGGTCTGCATTTGACATTTGCCTGTTGAAATGAAATAGGGCCTCAGAATCCTTCTCAACACAGTGCTCTCATACCACTAATTCCTTAGACTGGTAGAGACCCCATTGTCTGAACCATGGTCTGGCAGGAGAGACAGAGTCATACATAAAATACTAAAATGCCGAGAGACAAACACTACAGCAGACGTGCACTACAGCAGGGCGACTCACTTGTGCTCAGGGAAGTCAAGGAAATTCCTAGAGGAAATAGTTTTCCAGGGACTCGAAGGAAGCATAGGAGTCCGTAAAGCAGAACAGAAGTGGTCAGTGGAAGAGAGCGTTGCAGGCAGAGGGAGGAGCAAGAGCAGAGCCCAAGGCACGGAAGGGAGCAAGTGATATTCAGGGAACAACACATGATGAGAGTGTGGCCAGTGGGTGAGGTGCCGCGGTGGCCAGAGGTCGGGAGAGGGAAGTCTGGAGAGGCAAGACTAGGCTCCATTGTGAAAGATCAT